CTTCCAGAACACCATTAGCTAGATAATTCACACACACAGCACTTTCATTCTGTACTGGATGAGCTACAGTAACCTAATGCATGGGTGACCCATTTTGTCCACTCACTGAGATATCACTATACAGTTGGACAGCACTTAATTTAATGTATTTTCATTTACTATCCTAATGGAGCAGAATGTAGCAGCACAGAGCATTCAGGTGATTACTGAAATGTGTCTTGTGTTTTCAGCAGCTGGTGCTTAAAAAGCTTTCAAAACACCTCCTAAATATACTTCTATATTCACTGCATTCCTGCAGTTGTTTTGTGACTGCCCTCTATATTCTTTTTTGTTGCAGCCACATTGCTTTAGTCTGCCTCATCTACCATTAGAATTTCCTACATGGCCCAGAATGCAACCTGCTGAGAGTCTGAACTTGATGGATTTTAGCTGTGGGTAATACATTATGTTACAGCAGGAGATGAAGCTGAAATCATCAAGACAAAATGAGTCCCTTTTCCCAAAATGCAACATGTCCTGAGGCTGGTTTGTTCTGGTCTGTGGAGAAAGTCGTGTCTGCCTCTTAGGTAAAAATCTCTGTATGATTGCTGAATGTCGCTACTGACACTTTAGCCTAATCCTGACATTATATTGCATTATTTCATCAACTATTGGTCCTGTTAATGTCAGAAAGAATACACATATACTAAACAAACAACACATGTAAAATCTGAAACAGAGAAATAGACTTAACAAACAAGCAATGAGGAAGTGTTACAGGATTTGTGTATTTTTCCTTAATTTTCCCAAACATTGATTCTGGTCACTAGTTACACTGATGCCATTTTATCTGCCCCTGAGTTGAAGGGACTTTACTTTATGCTACTTTATTTCACTACATTTCATAGAGAAATACTGTACTTTTCATTTCACTACATTAACTCAAGATTTTACAAACAAAACTTATGATCAGTTAGATTCATTGCGACATGTTAAACTACCAAAAGTATATGAAGTATATACTTTTGATACTTTAAGTACATTTTGTTGCTAATACTTAGTGTACTTTTACTTAAGTGAAACTTTGAATGCATGACTACTTGTATTTGAGTATTTTCATATTGTGGTATTTTACTTTTATTTAGATGATTTGAATGCTTCCTCCACCACTGGCTTTTAGTGGATTAAATTTATGAACACTGATTTTGCAAGTTAAGCATGTGATGTTTTAATGTTTTCATACTGAGAATGTGGATTCAGAGGCAGGTCAGTACCAAAGTATGCAGGCCAAGGCGTCTAAAAAATCACACTGACTCTGATTAAATTACTGTGTCAATACCCAACATGCTCAAACTGCTAATCTCCCAGCAAATGCCTGCGGCAGGACAGTGCACACACATTTGGAGAAGAATGAAAGGGGTTTCGACATAAATTAAATTGTTTTAAAAGGACAACAAGGTGATCTTATTTAAGTAATTCTTCTTTTCAAAATCAAGTAAGTATGATGGAAAACATGCCTTTAAATGAAATCACATGAAGTTGTGGTGACTAGACACAAAAATGGAGAGGGGCATGCAGGATATCTGTGCTTAAGTTGTGTATGTGTGGTTACAAGAGGCAACAATCAAGGTATTCTTTTTAAAATCAAGTTATCACTAATACATTTCTCCCAAATTAACGAATCATAGAGCAACATTAACTAGATAAAAAAGGTATTTATTAAGGGCTAGAACCACTATTAACAATTTGAAGAAATACTTCCAGTGTGCAATCTACATAAAATACTAAAATTATTCTGTGAGAATAGATTACATCTTTCTTCTGTAAAGTGTGTATAATTAGACATGTAGAGAGCTGAATTTATTTCACCTTTGCACTTTTTCTGTCTCAGCAATCATAATCCTGCACCATAGTGAAAAAGAAGGTGCAAACACTCGACCAGGAGTCGTTGCAGTACTCCTCTGCCCTCTTCTTGTTATCAGGTTGACAGGATTTGACAGCTCTGGGTGTGGGCAGTGGGATGGAAGGCGAGTCAGTCTTTCTCTGTGCATTATGGAGTCTGAAATTAGCTTCTCTGGCAGCTCTTCTGCACATGCCCGCCCTGACCAAAGCACGACTGTCCTGGCACAAATTCTTTTGCTTCTTCAGTGCCCTGGCGATTTGCTTCCAGTAAAGATTGACATTGGAAGAGTACTGGGGACAAACAGCTGGTCTGGAGACATACTCACAGCTGAAGCTCCTGTCTCTCTTCTTGCAGCTGACACTGAGAATGAAGAGGTCCTCACCTGTCGCTTCCCAGGTACACTCTGACTTGTCTTTGGTAACCATTTTGCCCTTAATGGGCTGGGCAGAGACAGATTTGGGTTGACGGCCCACCTTTAGGCCTGGCTTGGTCCTGTCTTGTCTTCTGTCCATCCCCCGTCCCCTCCTCCCTTGGCTTTTCTGACAGCTGCTCAACATCAGCTGATGGGAAATACAAGCCAGAATAAGCAGGATGGCGACATTGGTGAGGAGAGCCATGAAACCAGCAGAACACACCCTGCAAGAGGGATACATTCAGATTTAGATATCTAATCTTAAATCCCTTTCATTTCCCTTTGACAAAAGAATCATTAAAATCCCCTATGTTTTAGAAGGAAATTACTCTTTTACTTACAGAAGCATTATGTGGGTACTCAAGGCTAAAGATAGTTAGATGAAGACAGTTAACTCTTTTATGGCAAAAATTACCAAAATAAGTCCTTCACATTAAGATATTAAAAAAGACATAAAACAATATATAAATTGGCTTTTACAAGAGTGAAATAAAGTAAAAGATAATAAGATAAAAGGAACAAATCAGAATGAACAGAGGAATAAAGAGTTACAGTGCAATGAGAGATATGAATAAATAGCCCCAAACCTTTATAAAATAAAATGATATAATTTAGATTAGAATATAACCTATGAAGCAATCAAAGTAAAGGGTGACATGAATGTAGTGATAGCATAGAAAGTAAAAAAGACAATGCAGACACACACTCTATAGTAACATTATATGGTAAATAATAGGAAAAATATGATGAATTTAATTAGATAAGTACTGTGTGTAATTCACTGTAACATTAAACATTAAAGAACATGAAGCTGATATATCATAAAGAAGGTAGTGAAGTAAGTATCAGCTACCATGTACACACACTACAAGTCCTACTAATATCAAAGTGATTAGTCATCAAGCATCAATACAGATGAAACTTACCTGCAGCTTTCAGAGTAAACTTTGGTTTACACTCCTGACACTGAGAGCTGAGAGTCCCCTTTCCCTGCAGCTGCAGTATGTTGCTGCAGATTCAGCCCTCCCCTTCACACACACACACACACACCACACACACACACATTCACACAGCATGATTGGAGGGCTTAAAAAGTTTGTTGAGTTCACACTAGTCAGCCAAGGAAAAAGTTCACGGATATCTTGAGCCAAATTGCCTGTGAAATCATTTTTGGTATTTTGATCAAGCTCAAACTAAGAGATAATTGCCATTGTAGAAGCTTGTGATGTAATTTTTTAACATTTCTTTCAATTAATAAACTTATTCTGGTGAAATCAAATAAAATACTATCACCAAAATAAAAGTCTTCTTAACAGCCTGCACAATGAGATAATTTCACTTTTAAAAAGTGCTTACACTAGTCTCCCTCACTATTTCATGGACTGTGACATCTTATTTCGGGCCTTTAACTGATTTATTTAAATTAAGAAAAGGAAAAAGACTTTAAACTGGTATCCAACGAAGGTTAAAGTCAAGGGCAACTAGACTTGGTTGAAGATACTGGAAGACGTTTCGTCCCTCATCCAAAGGACTTCTTCAGTTCTTTATTCTTTAAACTGGTATGTTTGTAAAAACATGCAAACACTTACAGATGTATGTTGATATATCAGGATTAAATCTGTTTTGGCAGATTGTGCTGCATGCTTCAGTCACACGTGTTTTTGATAACTTCATTTTTAATCTGTTATGTTAAACAAAACTAACTCTGGGTTTTTTAAGACCTTCACTGGACCGTCTGTTAGTACAGAGTGTCAAAGATAAAATGACTTGAAATATCTTGAAATGAGCCAGTTTCCTTGTAGGAGAAAATCACTGCCTGATTGAACTTGAAGGTCTGCTTAACATGAGCAACAGTGGTACCCAATGGCCAAATATGGTGTAGCAGGTAATTCCACTGTTTCATGGTCATTATGATGATGATTTATTTTAAAAACATAATGATATAGTATAGCAGTGGTTTTCAATATTGTTATTATTTTTGCCTTTTCTTTTTTGCAAATGTCACTAAATTCAATACATTTCACTTTCTTGCACGATTTTTGTAGTTTTGTTTATCATCAAGAAGGAGTAATAACATTGAGCTGATCAACACAGAATAATCAAGAATAATGTTTATTTTTGTAATACAATTTTCACATTCATTATTTGTTTCTGTCAAATAAATCAGTACAGAAACCACTGACTTTTTCAGACCAAAATAAACCTTGGTCTTTCTAAACAGTGTAATATTCAAGGTCATATTAAGTGATGTAAGTAGATTATATACAAGTAAACAAACATAATACAAACAAATACATATAAGTGACAAGAATGAGTTGCCTGTCTCTTCTATCTTGGGCTCATATATTGTTGTAAAAGTTTGTGCACTTGCAGAAACCCTCTCACAAGTTAAACTCGAACATAGTACAATTTCATACATGTGCTTCATAGCTGTTTTGCAAAATATTTATTCTTCACAATTAAGCAGTTAGGGAGTTTTTCCAGCTGTGACATTTGGAAGATAACACATGTAAGGTTCACTTAGAAATCGTGCTTTGGATGTCGCAGCAGTACCATGCTTTCCCTGAAGAGAGCGCTGCAGTTCTTCCAACACGGATGAACAAATTTCTCATCTGGAAGTTCCCTCCCAGGACCACTTTAAGCAGACATCAGAAGTTATCTTCATCAGAATTGTTAATCTGTGAATATAACAGAGGGGGGAGTGCATATACAGTTGTAAATTATCATCAGTAATATTCTGAGCAAAAAAAGAGAGAAGTTTGCATTTTGCAAATGAATGCTGAAGGCAAGCTTGATTTAAATACACAGAATGCCTCATTCCACTAAAGTAGCTTTACATTGGTCATAAACAATATAATCAATGTTAATGAAGAATACTGCTGCTCACCTTCCTTGTTAATTCCGAAACAAACCAATGACGTAAGAACAGATGCCTTGAAGGGATCTCCAGCAGTACTGCCGAGCCATCTTCTTAGCCTTGCTCTCCGCTGGAAGTGTCGTTGGTTGTGGACTGGTTGTCTTTGTTGTTTTTACTCTTGGTGTCACTCGAATGTTTTTTGTGGAACCTTGCCTTGCTGAATCAGGCCTTGTAGGGGCAGGACGAGGTTGAGGTCTTGGAGACCGTGCTGGTGGTCTTGCTCCTGACCTAGAAGGATCTTCAGGCGATGACCGGGAGAAGGAAGCAGATGAGAAAATCATCTGAGAGTCATTAGTTGCCTTCCTGCACATATGAGGTTGGATCTGCCTTGGTCCCTGGCAGGCATTGTAGAGCTTTCTGAGGCCCCACATCATCTGGACAAAGTAGTGACGAGGGTTTTTGTTGTAGGAGCTGCAGGTGTAAGGCTTGCCGACGTATTCACACCAGTAGGTGCGTTTGCTTCCCTGGCAAGACAGCCTCAGCCTCGTGTATTCCGCGTGACCAGTGATGATCATGGTGCACAGGTCCTTGACTTTGGTTTGAAATGTGATTTGATCATCCCAGATGCTTTGTCTCCTACTGCCTTCACTCTGAGCCTCAGCTGACCAAAGGCAGCAGGCGAGGAGTAGCAGCATAGTGCTGGTCCACATGGTGTCAGATGGATGCTGAGTGTAAGAAGAGTAGAGTGGGACTGCTGAAGCTGAGAGTCCCTCCTGCTATTTATTGGCTAAGCAGACAAAGGGGGAATTCAGGGTTTTTTTTTTAAAAGCAGTTGACTGAACGAAACTTAAATGGGGAGGAGAAGAGAGCAGCAACGACAACAGTTATGGCTGTCTGGAGAAAGCAAGGGCCAAGGGCCTGACATGTTGACAATGATGTTCATGTTTATCCAGGAGTACAAACGGTCACACATTAAAATCCCTGAAAAACTAAATTATGTTAAATGCATTTTATAGAAAAAATTCTAGCAAACAGTCTGGTGCATTTTTCTTGCCAGATGTGGTATGTAATCATGCAAACATCATAGTTGATAATGCTCGAGTGTTTGCCCCCGTACATCTCAATTAAAAATAAATAAGTCATGGCTGAGAATATTCTCATGTAATCTCATGACTCCCGAAGTTCTTGTTTGTTTTAAAAGGAAGTTGGAGCTCAAAACCATGCAGCGTAGCCTATCATTTCCCTCCAAACATAAACGGAGTCAGACTGCACCACCTCAAAGAAACGTGAGTAGAAGCCACTCACACATGGTGGGCCATGTTTAGTGTGGAGCGTGGTAAGTAATTGCTGTGCCAATTTAGAAAGAACAAGAAATGTCTCTGTAAGACTAGGGGGGTTAGCATGGTTGTTGGGCCAGATAATGTTGGGTGGGATAGGACATGTCTTAGGTGGCTTTATTTTCAGGACCACCTGGAGTAAAAGGTCCCATTGTGAGTAAGTAAGAGCAAGTAGTCAACACATCCGGAAGAGATTTTGCTTCACTAAGTAGAGTGAAGAGAATTTTTAGGGTCTTTTAAATATATATATATATTTAAAGAAAGTTGATGTTCATAGATATACAGTACATTTAAACACAAATTAGAAATGTCTCACTGTTTTCTGAAAATAATCAACTCAATTTTTTTCAATTGTGAGTTTCTTGTTTATTCCAATAACTGTGTCACCATTTAGGATGAAGATTTGTGCCTTTTTTGATATGGCACTTTTAACCTGCACCTAACCACAAAATTATCACATACTCTTATTAGTCTTCGCTCCCCTACCCCCTGAGTGTTTGTGTTCCCCTGGGATTGCAGCATATTTACCAGCATATAACACACTTTGTCTGACTGAAGTATCGGCCTGTGTAAATGTATAGTATGCTGCCTACTGTTGTGTGTAATGTTTAGTTCAATACAGCTTTATTTATCCCTATGAGGGGAAGTTTTTTGTGTCAGTTCTTAGCACAGGGCCAAACAAACGATAAACATGGCAAGACACTTAAATTAAAGCTGTGTGTATGTGGAGCTGCAATAATACATTGATAAATAAATAAAAAAACTATGAAGCCATAAAAATGAAGACATTTATAATGTGGGGTATTTTCTTTGCTGGCTCTCAGCTATTGAATCCTGATGATAGTAAACAGTATTATGCATTTTAATTTGTGAATGCTTTTCACCATTCCTCCTAATGTGCATTATATTATATGATTGGAGTACATGCTGGCAGTTAGTGTATGGCTCTACTCATCAATCTAAAGATAGATTGTACATAAAGTAATGTACAACTTGTGCAGAATCTTGGAAATGACTGTTCCAACACAG